CTGCTCATGGAGCTTACAATCTAAAGGAAGAGGGAGGTGATACGAAAGGTGATAGCTGCGGGGAATGATCTGGTGGAGGTGATTCAAGTACAGTTCTTAGGTGGAGGTGGGGTAGGCTTCCCTACAGTAGATCCCTCCCAGCAATGACTGCCCCCCCCAGTAACATAAGACTCATTCCAGCAACAATAAATCTACCAACAGCAATAGATCTTCCCAGCAACAATAGACCCCCTGGCAAAAATAGATCCTCTCCAGCAATATTAGATCACCAACAGCCAGCATCAATAGACCCTCCAGCACCCCTTGCGATTATATGCATTAAGTGCTGAGGTGCAGGAACTGTGTTCTCCTACGTTCCAGCTGAAAAAAAGCCTTGCCTCCTATTTTACAATTTTTCTGCTGTGCTTCAAAAATTGGGTGTGGCCAAACTTTAGAGTGGGAGGGGCTTAAGGGACATGGTTAAACAAAACCCAAGCTTACTCGTACCTCTTGAATAGGCAGGGACTGCTTAGCAACCAGCAACAGTTGAGACAATGAACACTTTGGGGAGAAGTATATATTGTACAGTATAATGTATATAGTACAAGACTGTGTAAAGTACAGCATAGTGTATATAGTGCAGGATTCTGTAAGGCAGAGTGCAGGGGTCAGGTGTGTGCAATGCAAACCCCCATATCCCCCCTTTCAACACAAATCGTCTCCCTTCCTCAGCACAAATCCCCCTTGCAGCACAATCCCTTCTTTTTTCCTATCCCAGTACATATCATCACCACTCTCAATTCCCCTCCCTACACAAATCTTCTTCCCCTTTCACCATATATCCTCCTTCCCCCCAAACTCCCCTCCCAGATTAAATCCTCTTCTGCTCCCCAAATCCTCTTTTCAAGTACAATCGTCCCCCATTCTATTTCCCTTTCTAAAGCCCCCCTGCTCAAATCCTCCTTTCCTCAAATCCCCCTCACAGCGCAAATCCTCTCCCTCACATCTAACACAAATTCTCTTCCCTCTTCCAGCACAACCTCTCTCCCATCCTGGAACAAATCACCCCCCCATCCTTTTCAGCACAAATCCTCTTAAATTCCCCCTCCCTGCACAACACCCCTTCACCCCAGGACAAATTCTCCCTTTCTCCCCAATCGTCTCCAGCACAAATTCTCCTACCCAAATTTCCCCTCCCAGTACAGCCCCCCCTCAAACACTAGTTCTATACCCCCATCTCCAAACTGTCCAGTTCTTCTGGGACTTTTCCAAGACTGAAGAAAAATCCTGGTATCCCTGACAGAGTCCTGTTGCCCAGCACTAGAACAAGTTCCGGTGCTTGGCTTCACTATCATGCCTGGCAAGGGTGATCCAACATGGGCATCCAGGACACTTGCCCTGTATCTCTTATTGGGTGCCCGGGTTCCCAGATGCCAAAATTGCTCCTGTGGCAGCTGGCATCTCTTTGATTCGGTGGGGGGGGGGGTGATTTGTGCTGGAGGGGTGCTTTGGTAGTAGAGGGGACTAATGCTAGAAGCTAAGATGGGGAAGGGGGGGGGGGTTAGACACACAAATCCTCTCTCTCCCTTCTAGTACAAATCCTTATTGCCAAATTTCCTGGTTTTGGTGGGAGCTCCCTGGGATTTAAACAAAATCTTGGTGTCACCGAATCTAAGCTGAGTCCCGGGGTGCTTGGTGCTAAAACAAGTTCTGGAACATGGCTCCAATAACTTGGCTGGCAGGGGCATGCCAGTTTGAGCACCCAGTGCAGTTGCCTTGCACTTCTAATGGGGTTACCAGGGTCCCAGATGCTGCAATTGTCCCCTGCCAGGCAGCATCTCTTTGATTTGAGGGGGGTAAGATAATATGTGCTGTGGGTGCACTTTGACAGAGGAATGGACCCCCCCCCCCTTATAGCACAAGTCCTTCCAACCCCTCAAAACACCCCCCAGCACATATCCACATCCCCTCCAATCAATCCTCCAAATGTACATCCATGTTACCTGTCCCCCCACCCCCCTTCCCTGTCACTGTGCCCCCCCCCCCTCCTCTGTAAGTCTCCATCCACAAACTACACATAGACCTCAGATCATTAGAGTGGCTCATGCAGTGCACTGACCCTCCTCTCTCGTTCCTCTTCCTCCTACCTGTGTACATCAGAACTGAGGAGGAGGCAGCTTCAGTCTGCTGTGCTGTGAGTTGTGCAGGCAGCTGGTAGGAAGATATTTCAGCTGCCACAGAGGAGGCAATTACAATGTGTGGAACCCCAGGCACCCTGCAAGAGATGCCCCTGCCAAGCCAGTTACTAGAGCTCAGTGCCGGAACTTGTTCTTGCATGGGGTCCAGGATTCAGCACAGATTCATAGGGATGCTGGAATTGAAATCAAATCTTGAGACAGTCCTGGCGAATCTGGGATAGTTGAGAGGTATGGTCTAGACTAGAGGAGAGTGTATTGAAGAAATGCTTCCTCTTTCCTGTAACAGACTGATGACATCACCTCAGCCTAGCCAAAGTTTCTGGACTAGAACTCAAATGATGTAGAGCTTTTGAACCGTGGAAGTGTTGCTGTACATTGAGCACATATGATTTTGGGTTTGTCCTGAACTCGAAAGGAAGCTGTCAGTGCAGGCCCAATGAGCTGCAACCGTGGCATATACCAGCTTGCAGCTGAACCTACGCAAAGGGGTCAGGATGCTTGTAACATCATTGACCTAACATGGTCACATTAGGTCAATGATTGACCTGATATTGTCACATTAGGTCAATGATTTCATGAGCATCCCCTCTTTTTTGTTTACATGCAGTTGCGGGAAAGGGAATGCCTCATCTTCTTCAGCTGATTGAGCTGGCACTGTTAGCTCCATTCTGGGTTTGGACTGAACCCAAGCTCATCCCTATATATATTATGTCAGGAATGTATGCATGAAGATAGTGGCTGAAAAGCCCTCTTATAGACTGATCATTTTTGTATTAAATTCATGCTCATGGCATTATGTGTCTCCATCAGCTAAGACAATTTGTAACTGTTTTCTTTTTGCACCTTGCACATAGCAATTGCACTTTGCACTGGCCCTTTGAACCCAATGTGTCTAAAGTGATGTCAACTGTACCCAGGCCTAAGAGAGTGTAGCTACACTCCTGAGTGGTAGGTATTGCATGAGATTCCTCTCCATTTGCTCCTCTCCTCCTCTCCTCCATCACATGTGTGGCTGGACTGAAAATATATAGAAAACAAGAACAGAAAAGTGCAATGTGAAAAAGCCATAAAAAGGGGATCAAAGGATAACATCCATATGTGAGGGAGCAATTTAAAAAGCAAACAATCCGGTAGAAGTGATTGCTCCACTTTGCCTCATATCCCCACTGTTTTTACAGAGGCAGCGTGCACTCTGCTACAGGGAGCTGCGTGTGTCTGAACTCCCGAAACCGTACAAGCAGATGAGTTTGTTTTTCTTGGCCAACTTCATCCCCGAGCAACATGTCACAGCACTTATCAGCTATATTTCTTCCACTCTGGAAAACTGCAATTCTCATTGCTCATCTGGCTTTAATATTTCTATACAGGTTCATCAATTCCCATTAAATGGAAGGATTACTGCGCTTCTCTAATACTTCTGTACAGGCGAATTGCATATTAGAAATAAGACAAAAAAAAATGCAAGAATATTTTAAAATCTAAGCCCATCCTAGATTGGTATTTCAGTTTTGGACAGATGTACATGGATTCAAGCATTTGCCAGCTTCCTAGGAAGGTCCACTTCCTTGCTAGCCCCCCACCGCCCAAACAAATAAGCTGTAAGTAATAGGGTAACAATAAAGATTTCACAGACAATAAGATGAAAAACGACTCACTTTGGCCCCAGCCTCCGGGTGACATAACCACTCCTCACTGTTGTCTCCTGGCCACTCAAAATCCCACAAGAATGAATTCCTGCAATGGGCTGGGATGCATTCTCACAGGATTTTAAGTTTCCAGCTATCCTAGTAGGTAGCAGTAAGGAACAGCGGTGTCATATGTGCTTCCTAGAAGTCAGGAGGGGTATTTTTCAGGTTTTTTATTTTTATTTTTAACTGCTAGTTTTATTTGGGCTGGTAGGGAAAAGGACCTTGTTATTCATATGAGATTGGCTTTAAAGCCCAACTACGGGCACAAAAAAAATAAATTTACAGTGCTCAACCCCTGCATGGCCTAAATGCTCATTATATCTAGACTCCACACTCCAACATGGTCACTCCCTTATCTTCACCATGACAATGCAGGCTTAACAGACCTGTATTGTACATTATGATGCAGAGGAACTGCCCACAGATCAGAGCTATTGGGAGAAGAGAGCAGCTCTGGATTTATTTATTTATTTCAGGTACTTATATAGCGCCATCAATTTACGCAGCGCTTTACACATATATATTCTACATTCACATCAGTCCCTAACCCTCAAGGGGTGTACAATCTAAGGTCCCTAACTTACATTCATACATACACATATTAGGGCCAATTTAGACTGGATCCAATTAACCTACCAGCATGTCTTTGGGAGGAAACCGGAGTACCCGGAGGAAACCCACGCAGGCACAGGGAGAACATGCAAACTATAGGCAGGTGGTGCCGTGGCTGGGATTCGAACCAACGACCCTAATACTGCGAGGCGGACGTGCTGACCATTTAGCCACTGTGCTGCCCATATATAGGATAGGGGAGTAAGGTAAGTAATTATGTCTGTTTTCTACCTCTAGACATAGCAAGCATTTAAAGAATACTATATGCAACTCCAACGTTAGGTGCCACTGATGTGCACTGATATGCGGCACTGATAGGCGCACTGACTGGCACTGCTAGGTGGCACTGATTGGCAGAACTGATAGGTGGCACTGATTGGCATTGATGGGTGGCACTGACTGGCACTGATGGGTGACATTGAAAGGCAGCTCAGATGGGCAATGATATGTGGCATTGATGTGCACTGTTGGCATTGATGTGGCACTGATGGGCACTGGCACGTGACACTGATGACACTGACACAAGGCACTGATGGACACTGACAGGTGGCACTGCTGGGGCTACACTGATCATCAGGGCACACTGATCATCAGTGCCCTGATGATCAGTGTACATGTCCCCTCTGAGGGATGCCGATTACCGACTCTCCTCTCCTCTCGAGCTGTCAGTGTGACAGCTCGAGAGGAGAGAAATGCCGCTAACCGGCATTTCCCTGTTTTTATGTGGTCAGCTGTGATTGGACACAGCTGATCACATGACCGAGCCAACATCTTCGGCTCTTTCCGTGGATCGGTGATCTGCTGTGTCTGAGTGACACAGCGCACTGCCGATTGCCGCGCTGCGCACTCCCGGAGCCGAGCATGCGCAGTGAGAATGGGAGGACGTCATATGACGTCCTCCCAGAACGAGAGAACCACCTTGCGCCCGTCATATTACTATATGGCGGGCGGGAGGTGGTTAAACTGAATGGGTTGTTTTGCAAGGTAATGGTTTGCATATACTTTATGATTAGACTTTACGTTTTTTCTAATTTCTGTAGTTGGGATTTTAAGGTGTATCTATAGCCACATTTTTTTCTGTGAGGATGTGGGGTGTGAGTGTTTGAAACCCTTTAGGTTTTTATTGCTACCTGTGTCCCCATGGGGCAGATTTTCCCTCTCTTTTCTGGTGACCTTGTCAGAAGGACTCAAAGCAAGGGAATTTTTCAGTTGTCACCAGAACAGGAATAGAGGGGAAATCTTCCAGTAAAGACAACTGTTACCTAGATCACAACTGTGAGCTGGGCTTTTCATTTCCTTTGGTACTGCCTCACCACTGCCTTAATGGTTGTACTGTTTCTCTAGATCAGGACTATAAAGCACACTGGTTGCATGGCAATAATGTAAAGGGTAAGGATTACTTGAGATGGACTGCCACATGTAGTCAGTGGACGAGCAAGAGCCCAAGCTCACCATTTCCTTCCCATGAAAGGTTTCTTTGATGGACTGCCTGACACCCTGACTGGGTATCTCCACCAAACTACAACTTCCTCCACTCTGGAACCATATTATAGCAAATTTTCTCCAAGCATCAGACAGAACCAATATTGGAGTAAAACAGGACTGACTTTATTAACAAACAGCACAGAATTTATACATAAAAACCTTCCCCCTAGGCAGGAATGGCACACATTACAAGTCCCAGGAAAAATTATATTATATAAAGAAATAAACAAACACAAGAAAACAGTGGATTCCTTCCTGGCACCTAGCAGTCTGGACTTTGAAGGTGATTAACCAGTTGCCGACTGCAGGTAGCCAAATGATGGCTGCACTGCGGCCGGCCAGTTCTGGGAGGCTGTCATATGACGTCCTCCCAGTTCTGGGAGGCTGTCATATGATGGCCTCCCAGAAAGCGTTGTCCTGTGGATACAGCTGATCACGTGATGTGGTAAAAGGCCAATCGCAGCGGCCTTTTACCACGTGATCCGCTGTGTCCAACGACACGCTGATCACCAGGAAATGCAACTGCCGGTTCTCGGCTGCACTTTCCTCACGCTGTCAGAGTGTGAGGAAAGTACTGCCGAGAACCGGCGGTTGTAAGAGCAGGGATCAGCACCGATCATCAGGGCACTGATGATCAGTGCCCTGATGATTGGTGCCCAGTAGTGCCACCCACCAGTTCTGCCCACCTGTGCCCAGCAGTGCCCACCAGTGCCACCCACTAGTACCCATCAGTGCAGCCCAGCGGTGCCACCAGTCAGTGCCGCCAGTCAGTGCCCAGCAGTGCCGCCAGTCAGTGCCCAGCAGTGCTGACTATCAGTACCCATCATCAGTGCCAGCTCATCAGTGTCACCTATCAGTGCCGCCTATCAGTGCCACCTCATTAGTGCTGCCTATCAGTGCCGCCTATAAGTGCCCATCAGTGCTGCCTATCAGTGCCCATCAGTGCCGCCTATCAGTGCCCATCAGTGCTGCCTATCAGTGCAGCCTCATCAATCCACATCAGTGAAGGAGAAAAATTACCTATTTGCAAAATTTTATAATAGAAAGAAAGAAACTTTTTTTTTTGCTTTTTTTGTTTATAGCACAAAAAAATAAAACACCCAGCGGTGAGTAAATACCACCAAAAGAAAAAAATTATACATGAGTACAATGTTGTATGACTGGGCAGTTGTCATTCAAAGTGCGACAGCGCTGGTCTGGCCTGGCCTGGTAAGGAAGGGGGTATAAGTGCCTGGTAGGCAAGTGGTTAAACAAAGTGAGAGCTTATATCACCTAAACAAAATTACAGCAAACAATAGTTGATGCCAGGAAACCTATAACAGAAAATAAAGTGTCTTACCTCCAAATATGCTGGAATTCACCCCCTGCTCCAGGGTAATAGTACTACTATGCACAGTATGTCAAGGGGTCACAGAAAGTCCCTCCAACCCTAATTGCATGTAAAGGGTAGCTGGTATAATTCAAGGCCAGCTACAGTAGGTACCCATTGAAGTGACATAACCCTCCTGGGGAAAAGGTTCCTTGTAAACTCAAGAGGGGGTGTCTCCTTAGTCCTGGGTCCATAGGTGGTGGGAAGGAGGCTGGACCCCAGGCCCCTCCAAGGGCCCAGGTCATGGTGGTTTCCATGACAGTTTCCTTTAACAGAATTCAGGCAAACCAGTTTGCTGAATGGCTCTAATCACCAAATTTTCATTGAAAATCAGATGTTTTGGTAAAGTGCATTAAAAAATGGTGAAGTTCAAAATTTACAGCTTCCGAACCACGATATATAGCCGAAAGACGGCTACAGCGTGGTTGTCTAGTTCTGGAAGGGTGTCCATGGACATCCTCCCAGAACCCGCCCCCAGCAGCATGCACCTGGCACTACCGGTGATCTCTGTGTCCAACGGACACAGCTGGTCACGTGATAAGGTAAAAGGCCAATCACAGCTGCCTTTTACCATATGATCAGCTGTGTCCAATGACATAGCAGAATACAATGTAAATACAGTTGCCGGTTATTGGCTGCACTTACTTCACGCTGTCACAGCATGAAGAAAGTACTGCCGATAACCAGCAGATGTGATAGGGGAGATCTGCACTGATAATCAGTGCCATGATTATCAGTGCTGCCCATCAATGGCCAGCAGTGCCACCCATCAGTGGCCAGAAGTGTCGCCCATCAGTGGCCAGCTGTGTCGCCCATCAGTGCTGCCCAGTAGTGTTGCCCATCAGTGCTGCCCAGCAGTGCCACCCGTCAGTGCCCAGCAGTGCCTCCACTCAGTGCTATCAGTTAGTGCCGCCAGTCAGTGCCCATCATTGCTGCATGTCAGTGCATCATCAGTGCCTCCTCATCAATGTCCACCAGTGCCTCCTCATCAGTGCTACCTCTCAGTGCCGCCTCATCAGTACCCATCAGCGCTGCCTATCAGTGCAGTCTCATCAACGCACATCAGTGAAGGAGAAAAATTACCTGTTTGCAAAATTATATAATAGAAACAAAGAAAACTTTTTTTTCACATTTTTGGCTCTTTTTTCATTTATAAAACCCCCAGTGGTGATTAAATATCACCAAAAAAAGCTCTGTGTGTGAAAAAAATTATAACAATTTCATATGGGTACAGTGTTGCATGACCGCACAATTGTCATTCAAAGTGCAACAGCGCTGAAAGCTGAAAATTGGCCTGGGCAAGAAAGGGGTAGGAGAGCCCAGTAGGGAAGCCAAACTATTTTTTTGTGTTTCAAATAAAGTAGTGAAGGTTTAGCAGTCCAGTTGAATTAATACAGGTTTCTGGATCAGATACTTTTGAATGTGAAAAAACTATTTTATTGGAACAACATACTTCCTAAGTCAACGATCAGTATCTTTATCTCTTAATGAGTAATCTTCTTAATAAGCAGTCTTAAGCCCTGATGAAAAGGAACCCCTTTGAGCCCTAGAAATCTGATTTTTTATTGAACACTACTCCAAATAAAATCAAATTACAGTATGTCAGGCTTTTCTCACAACTCACCAGTATAGTTACGATACAGGGTATGGCCAGTAGAGATTTTTACACCATTATTACACCTTCAACATCAACAACCCGGCTACATCCCAACTCTTCCACATAACCTCTTCTTTTGCACTAGCACAGTGCACACAGTCCTCCACTCACTCTGACGGGAACACTCTCGACCTTGTCTTCTCTCACCTTTGCACTCCCTGCAACCTCACAAACACCCCCTTTCCTCTCTCCGATCACAACCTCATCACCTTCTCCCTCTCCTTGTCCTCAAACACCTATCCCTCCAAACGGCAAACAATTACCAGCAGAAACCTCCAGGACTGGAACCCTGCTCCCTTCCACTCTGCAACTGACCAACTTTACGACAGCATCCATCCCCTATCCTGCCCTGACCTGGCCACTACTGCCTACAACAACTCGCTTTCAGCCACTCTAGACTCGCTCGCACCCCCAACAACAGGAAGCATTAGGCCCCGACCGCTACAACCCTGGCAGACCGACCACACTAGAAACCTCAAATGACATAGTCGTGTGCTGGAGCGACTATGGAGTAAAACCAAATCCCAACAAGGGTTCACCCGCTATAAATCTGCCTTCTTAACGTACACTTCCTCCCTTCACGCTGCCAAACAAGCCTACTTTATTACCCTCATTAATACCTTCTCCTCCAGTTCTCACCGGCTCTTCTCCACTTTTAACTCTCTACTTTCTCCGCCTCCAACCAGTACCTCACTCACCGCCCACGAGATTGCCAACCACTTTAAAAACAAGATTGACGCAATTCGTAGGGACTTCGCCACTGCTTAAACACCCACCCCTCTTAGCACTCCTCACACGAAAACCCCCTCAACACTTTGCTCCCTTGACCTCACTACCACCGAAGAGGTCACTAAGATTTTCTCCAAAGCCCGCCTCACCACCTGCCCCCTGGACCCTGTCCCCTCACAACTCCTGCGGTCCCCCTCCTCTTCCATCCTATGCTCCCTCACTCACATCTTCAATCTTTCCCTCTCCACTGGTACCTTCCCCTCCCCTCTAAAGCACGCGCACATCACTCCCATACTCAGAAAAACCCTCCCTGGACCCCACTGACCTGAACAACCTAAGACCCATCTCCCTACTGCCATTTACCTCTAAACTCCTAGAACGCTTAGTCTACAATCGCCTGAGCTCCCATCTCACCGACAACAACCTTCTCGACCCATTATAGTCCGGCTTCCGCCCCCTACACTCCACTGAAACTGCCCTACTCAAACTCACCAATGACCTACAAACTGCCAAAACCAATGGCCACTATACTATACTCCTATTACTTGACCTCTCTGCGGCTTTTGACATGGTTGACCACCCCCTCCTCCTCCTCAAAAAACTGCACTCTCTTGGCCCCAGAGACTCCATTCTCTCCTGGTTCTCCTCCTATCGCAGCACTCCTTCAGTGTTTCCTATAATGCTGCCACCTCCCCTTCACAGCCTCTCTCTGTCGGGGTCCCTCAAGGTTCTGTCCTCGGACCCCTCCTCTTCTCCATCTACACCTCCTCCCTTGGCCAACTGATAAACTCCCATGGCTTCAACTACCACCTCTATGCCGACGACATGCAAATCTATCTCTCTACCCTTCACCTCACCCCCTCAGTCTCCAATCGCATCACCAGCCTACTAAGTGACATATCGACTGAATGTCACTCCATTTCCTCAAACTCAACCTTTCCAAAATTGAGCTTCTAGTATTCCCCCCAGCCCATGCCTCACCCCCCCCCGACTTCTCCATCAAGATCAACAACACTACCATCCCACCCCTCACGCCAGGGTACTAGGTGTAATCCTAGACTCCAATCTGTCCTTCCAGCCCCAGGTCCAATCACTGACAAACTCATGTAGACTTCACCTCCGCAACATCTCCAAGATACGACCGTTCCTAACTTCGGAAACCGCTAAGCAACTCATTCACTCCCTTATTATATCACGCCTTGACTACTGTAACTCCATCCTCACTGGCCTACCTCATCGCAGGCTATCCCCACTCCAGTCCACTATGAATGCTGCTGCCAGACTCATTCACCTTACTAACCGCTCTGTATCTGCCACCCCTCTCTGCCAATCCCTCCACTGGCTTCCAATTGCCCAGTGGATAAAATTCAAAACACTAACTGACGTATAAAGCCGTTCATAACACTGCCCCTAATTACATCACCAACCTTATCTCTAAATACCACCCAAATCGTACTCTCCGCTCCTCGCAGGACCTCCTACTCTCTAGCTCCCTTGTCTCCTCCTCTCCTGCTCATCTCCAGGATTTCTCAAGGGCTTCCCCCATCCTCTGGAACTCCCTACCCCAATCTATTAGGCTATCACCTACTCTGCTCTTTTTTAGGCGCACTCTGAAAACCCATCTCTTCAGGGAAGCCTACCCCGACCCCAGCTAATACTGGAATCCCCTACTCTTCCTACCACTCCATTCCCCACAGCTAATTTCCTCTTGTACCACTATCCCCTCCCTCCTATATTGTAAGCTCTAAGGAGCAGGGCCCTCCAATCCCTCTTGTATTGAACTGTATTGTTACTGTACTGTCTCCCTTCATAATGTAAAGCGCTGAGCAAACTGTCGGCGCTATATAAGTCCTGTATAATAATAATTATCATCATGCAGGAGGTTTTGTCAGTTTCCCCAATAATTAAGTGATCTTGCATGGCAAGACCACTTACTGTTATCTCACATATATATTCTTATTCTTATTATAGCCAAATTTACCACCCTAACTCCTCCCA